CTAACTCTTATAAACTTGGGATAACTGTTAAGACTATCTATGTGTCTTTGAGTAATTCTAATTGCATTCTATAAAGGTGATCTTTTCATAATTAGCTGCGTGCAAATGTATTCAGAGCCGAAGTTGAGCAATCCAATCACTCAAGTTAGAGGTGACTTTGAGACATCTATCTCAGACTTTTTTGAATGTTAGGTGGAGGAACATAGAATGCGGAGGAAGCCTGATTGAAATGGACAAGGTCGTAACATCCGAATCTTGTTTTTATAATCACAAACAGGTACGAATTCTTAGAAAAAATTTAAATAAATTCCATAAGATAACCGCTCAGCCCAATTTCTACAAATATTTATCAAATGACACCAGAAAAAGCAAGCGAACACAACAACTAAGAACAAAAATTATACTTCAAATAAATTATTTAATAAGTGCTACATTAGTTAAGTGCTAAATTAGCTCACCAGGCTGACTTTCATACAAGAAAAATGCCTATAATACAATTTCATGAATCGAGTCTACGGAAAAAAGTCTTGCCATACAATTTTATTAAAAGAAAATAGTATGAAAGGCATTTTTGAAAGCTTTTTTTCAAAATTGTTTATTAGTTTAAAACTCAAACAAAACAATTTAGTGGCGGTTTTAGTTACATGAGAGCAATTTGAAATCAATCTTTTTAAATAAAAATAATGCTCATTATACAGTTTCCAATTTGGAGATTGTATGATACGCATTTTTTCATTAAAAGGTACAAATTTGAGGCAAAAAATTTCATCTTTTCTGGTTGCAAACTTGCTTCTATGCTGGAATTAATTTTTACAAAAAAAAATATTTTTTTTGTGAACGAAATTACTTTTTTTTGATTTCATATGTTAAGATAAACATAAATTTGTAGAAAAAACAGGCCTTTTTTCAACAGCCAAAAATTTCAAAGAAATTTTGTTCAAAGTATATATTTATGTTTGAAAATTTTAGCATTATCTTACATGATTAAAATTACCACTTGTAGTTTATCTGCGTTGAGAAAACTCAGGGTTTTCTTATGACAGAAAATCCTTGATTTGTGTGTTTTGGATCAACACAAAATTTCAAAACAAACTTTCGAAGAATATTGAACATAGTGAAGACTCTTATGTAGGTCTTGGTGATTTTTTTTGTTCGGGAAAAGTCTTAAAAAGCGCTTATAACTACAGTTGTGCATTCATATATTCATATATATATATATATATATATATATATATATATATATATATATATATATATATATATATATATATATAATATATATATTGATAATTTTATGAATGCACTTAGGTATATATGAACTTTTTGAGTTCTTTTGAAACACTTCTGCTGAAAGTGACGTAAAGAGCATTCTCCAAATACGAACGTGGATATGGCGCCAAACAACGTGAACAATTTCTAAATTCGAAAGTGGAATTTAATTTGTAGATCTCCAGCGGAATAAAACTTCACCTGTTGATCAAGTTTTCTCAAGTTGGGTTGATGTTATCAAAAAACCGCTAATCATATATCGTTCTAAAAATTCAAAGAACTTAAAAGGCATTTATTTTTCATCTTTGAAATTCGAAAATTGAGATTTTTTAATTAAAATGTCATTTATGTTTACTTTTTTTCATTACCCTTTTCCCATCTTCTTTTGGCTATGTTTTCCATTTATTAAAAAAACTTTATCATACAATTTCAAGGCATGGAAAAAATGCTTATCATACACTGTTACTGTAGGAAAAATGCTTCTGCTATTTTGATAAATCTCTATGATAAACAATATGGCAAAAAACTTGTTATTTAGTTTTAAAAAAATGCAAAAAAATTTTTTTTAAATTTCTTAGTATAAAAAAGCTTATCATTTTATTTTCGTATTATTGTTTTGAGTCTATGAAATAGCTTGAAGTAGTATCGTAAGTCTTTGTCCGTAGTATGAAAGTGTAAGATAGGCATTTTTGTCAACACGGTCTTACTTATGTTTCTAAAGTTGAAATACATTGACAATTTGCTTTTCGGGTTTCAGATGGATACCACGCCCTACAGACTCACTCTAACTCCTAGTAAGTTTGACAATTCCTTCTGCTGTACTGTTTATGATTCTAAAAAATTTGATTTGTCGTGATTTTGTGGAAGAAAGTAAGGAATATATCTATGTGTTGGCGATTAGAATGAACATCTCAATAATAATTTTTAAACAACAATGAAAACACCAGCTTCTTGAATTGAAAAACTCTTAACCAAAACAGTTTGCAACTACTTACAGTGCAGTCCGAACGTTCAGGGCTTTTCCTTGACATACGAGCTGTTTTGTTTATTTGTAACTTTAACTTTTTGTCGTTCATTTCAAAGAAGCTATAAAAAAGTTTAGAAGCTTTATTACGTTTTAGAAGTTACATTATTATAAAAAGGCGGGGGCTTTTTCAAGTTCTGAAAAAAAAATTAAATAAATAAAGCTGACAAAAATTTTTCTATCGCAGTTTTGTTCTCGGCTCATCGGGCGTCTCTTCAAGTAATGTCGCCTAAGTGACCGCGCAGTGAGTGATACAGACTGTCAATTTAACATTTCTGATTGCGTTTTCTGTCTATGATCTCCTGAAATTCAGCGTCAGTCTTACAAAAGTATGAATTATATTAGGATTTTTTTTATCTACTTCTTAATCTAGTGGTTTTTATTTCATTTTTTTCATTAACTCGCAAAGCTTGCGTTGTATCTCAAGTGTTGCGAGACTCACTCAGTTTCCTCTCTGTTTGTGAAATTGACGAGAAATATAACTGCTAACATCATTGAATGTTGTACTTAACAGGATAAGCACATGGAAAGTGTACCTGGAGAATTGAATTACTGCAAATTGTGACCATCTTTTTCAGAAGTTTTTTGCAAGTTTTTGAAAGCAGCTTTCAATTCTCAATTCTCAGTTGTTTTCTTTATCAATCAATTACACCTTAAAATTAGTAACTGGCTTATAATGAAAAATTTTTCCTCAGTATAGAACAAGGCGATGGTTCACACACTATTTTCCCAAACTTAGGATAAAATTTTCTTAAGAAACTGATAAAAAATGTTTTGAGAATCAGAATTAAAAGCATAAGCTCCTTGTATAAAAGCACAGCTGTCAACATCACCCTGAATGTTTGGACGACCAAGCTGGCTCCAGTTATTTTTGATTAAAAATTATGACTAATTTTTTTTAATTAGAAATTTTGAACACGGTTCCAATTTTAAATTTCGAACACTTCCAAAATTCAGGTTTAAAACAACCACACCTTCTCAAAATAGGTTACGCAAAGTTGTATTTAAATCAACTCAGAATCTTTAATTCCTAAACTCCGTTTTTCAATGCAAAAAGGTGATTCAAAGCGCAAATTATTTATTTAAAACCAGCAGATTCAGCCAATTTAAGGGCGAAAAATGATCATAGGAAAAATATCGATTGAGCTTCTAGTTAGGCGTCAAGAAGTTTTTGATCAACTTATTTTAGTTCGCTCAATTTTTATTGACTCTACAAGATCGAAAATATTGTGAACAAAGAAAAATAAAACGGCTCGTATCAGGGCGAGTCCCCGAATGTTTCGACTTAATTTTTAAGGTTTATGGATCAGTAAAAACATGAAAAAATTAAATGTAAGAAAACTAAGTTTTTTGTTGCTTAATTTGAATTTTTTTTAAAAAAACTTCCCCCATACGCCATATAAAGTACAATGTGATAAAATTCGCTCCTAGCAACAAATCAATTAAAGCAAATAAGCTTCATTTAGCCCATTTGGAACGCTTTCTATGACGGATTAAATCTCCGCATACGCGTTAATAATGCGAAATATATCGCGCGTTAATGGTCCCAAATTGGCTAAAATTGTAATCTTTAAACACACATAACTTTACGAAAAAGGATCACAAGTGAAATATTATTTCAAATTGAGGGTAAAGACAACAATACGTTTTAAATGATAAAAAAAATTTCGACAAAAAATGGCTAGTTAAAAAGTCGAAATTTGTCTGAAGAAAAAACCCACTCCGAGCACAAGTATTCCGTAACTTTCGTTACTAAAGTCGGAAAATTAATTAAATGCTAAAATGTGACTCGTATAGAGAAATAATTTGACTCAATTAAATTGTCCTAATTCAATTTGAGTGGGCGCGGAAAAACTCTCCAGCAAAAACTCTTTCAAAAATTGAAAACACGGAGTTAAAGCCTTAAAACTGAACATTACTCCTCAAATTAGGGCAAATTTTTTAAAATGTCCTGACTGCCCTATAATAAATTCTATGGAACATTTTGGAGAAAATTTTTGTAAACTCCTGAAAATGCAAGAAACTAAAAAAGTGTTTTAACTTTCAAACTTAAAAAAAATTTTCTCACAAGCTATGGACACTACACATTGACATCTGTTTCACTTTTTGCAGCAAACGATTGTTCGTAACTTTAATTCAAATCATCAAAACTGCTCGTTCACGAGGACAAAGCCAGTTTAAGATATAATTTGAGTCGCAAAGAGAATTAATGTGACCAAAAAGCTTGTCTCAATTTTTTTTTGAAATTTCACTCCGGGATAATGCTCCACGCATAAATAATTCGCTTGACGCTTTCATCGTTCATCATGAACAAAAAATTTTCAAAGCGCGCATGAATTAGTCTACATCTTGGCAATTTTCAAACCCCGAGAGTTTTTTGAAATCGATGGCAGATGATTTTTTTTTTAGTTTTGAATTTAGTTGGTTTGCATCTTCATTGAGATATAAAAAAAATTTCGTTTTAAATTATAACTTCGATTACCGAAATTCTTCTGAATAAAAAAAATACCTCAAGCATATATCTTCCTTACTTTCATCAAAAGTCAAAATATAACGTAATCATAGTTTGTAAATTCAAAAATCTGGAACATATTGTTCGACTCGGATAATTCATAAAATAAATGATACAACGTTAAAGCAAGTGACAATTTGCTATCAAAATCTAACTTTTCAGCTGAAATTGACTTTGAAAGAATATCGGTCCAAAATGGTCTCTGAACATGACTATTTTTCAGAGACTGTTAGAGGCAGGTGGTACAATGGACATTGGAGTTACGACAGTTGGTCATACAACCCACCAAAGATAATTTCTCTGACTCTCATAAACCTGTACATAGACTCTGGACAAAATCTAATCACGTTACAATTTTCCTCTAAGATCCAACCGAGCATCTACACTAACCTGTTGCGCCTGTGTACTTTGCAAGATGAAAGTGTCGAGAAAGAACTGAAGCTGGAGAAGAAAGCAATTCAAAACGCTGACAAAAGATACACAGCGGTAAAGTGGCATATCACTGAAATTTGCATGACTTTCGTACCTGTTACATAAATATTATATTTAATACAATTACGTATTTTGGCTAGTTTATACGTCGGCTGGCTTATATACCACACAAAGGATAGCTGGCTGAAAGTTACATGAACTAAACAAAATTCAGTATTTGAAATTTAACCAGAATTTTGCACCCATTACTAGTTACCCACACCCAGGGGCGGATCTAGATTTTTCTCGAGTGGGGGGGTTTGCGGACTTTAAAAAAAATCTTCCTAGTTTTGCTTCTCCCTTAAAATTAGTTTAAAATGGCGCCGAAGGCGCCTTTAGAAAAACTTTAGGGTCCGTCAGCCAAAAATGGATATTTCAAAATAGTTCAAAGGGGGACCCTTTGGGTCGACAGGGGGTCGAATCCCTGAGGGTCGAATCCCTGAGGGCGTCTGCCCCGCTCCCCCTAAATCCGCCCCTGCCCACACCAAAGTTTCATGGGGAAAAATCAGTTATAATGCTTTTTTGTTGACTAAAAAATTGTCTAGAAAATTGATTATTGTAGCAAATTTAGACCACGTAATGCAATTTTAATCCGGTATAATCGATTAAATTTGAAAAAAAAATAAACCATTGTAATCCATTATAATCGATTATCATGTTTTTTTTCCGAAAACTCGATTTATTTTTGGAAAACTCGATTTTCAAAAAATCCAAGAAAATTAAATATTTTTGGCGGATGTGAAAATTTACTCTGCCTTTTGCAGCTTTTTGCAAAGTCTAAACCAAACGAAAACGTTCATCCCCAACCACAACGCCTACCCACCACGTATGCCCTTATCACGTCCCCCTTACTACGTCTCCAACGACCTTCCCCCACCACGCGACGCCCTCGGTATATTGTGAGGTTGGCGAGAAAAATGCAGTCAAAGACGAAATACAAAAAAAACATAATTTTTTTAGATCAACCATATTGATTTTTCGAGCGCTCCCAGAACACTGAACGACTCTGTTTTATCAAAAAAAAGTTTACGCCGCAGGCAAACTTTTGAAAAAAGAAACATGTCTAAAATGCCCCTCGTAAATCCGTCCCTGCAATCTATTGATATTGATAATATTCCTGTGCGAGTATGGGTTGGCTGTTAACTTTCTGCCATTTGGTCCCTGTTCCCGAAATTTTGACATTACCATGACAACAGAAACCCTTCACCCGCAGTTAAGAGGTTGCTACTCCAAATAGTTGAACTTCAAAACAGGAAAACCAAAGATGATGCTATGAGGCAACAATGCTGGAACTTTCAAGCATGGTGAAAAGTTTTTGGAGTGGACAATGAAAACCCTTCTTATGCATTTTTTCGAAAATCTTATTTAAATAAGGTTTTTTGTGTTCTGTTAACTTACTGAAAGAACAGTTATTTTTAGCCTGTATTTGTGACCAGGTGTATACAGTGCCTGAAATCGAAGATGAGGACTGTTTTCAAGCTTTCGGTAAAAAGGGAGTTCTTGCCGACAGTGGAAAGGGGAGAGATGATTCCATCTGCGGACAGGGCTACAAAGGGAAGTATGAATACTTCTGCCAACACGGAGCCACCTACAACAACTGGAAGAGTACGTTTGGCGATTTATGTTTCGTTCCTTGATGTTTATTGTTCCGACTTTCGGAGAAATTGACGAAATATTTGTGCTCGGGGTGTTTTTTTTCTCCCGACAAACTTTGAACTTTTAACTAGCAACTTTTGACAGAATTTTTCTTCATCAGCCGAAAGATGTTATTATCCTGAGCTCAAATTTAAAAAAAATCGTAAAATATAACCAAAAGCATAAGCTATACCGTTTTTGGGCACTTTTCCAAAAGGGATATAATAATCAGCGGGGAATTTTTCACCTGTGATCACTTGTTGTATAGTTATGGGGAAATAAAAATTGCCATTTTGCTCAATTTGGGACAATCAACGCGCGATAAAATTTGCGCTATTAAAGCGTAAGCGGAGATTTAATCCGTCTTAAAAATCGTTCCAAATTGGTTGAAGCAGGTTTTTTCCCTTAGTTGCTATGTTACTTGGAGCGAAAATCATCGCTATGTATTCATATGCTTTGATTTTGTAAAAAAAAATCACAAAGTTAGGAAAAAAATTGTTGCTTCATAAAACTTATAAGCAGTCAGAACATTCAGGGCTTTGCCCTGATATAAGCAGTTGTTGTTCTTCGAATCTGTAAAGTTGGTAAAAACGTAGAAGAGAGAAGCCTCTTATGAAGAAAACAGAATGTCTTTCCTATATTTTGTTATTTTCATCTAATACATTCTTAAGATACCAATCTGCATAAAAGTTTGGCTTAACTCACCTTTAACGTAGTTTTGTGCAGTTTTTCTTCTGAAAAATTTTCCAAAATTGTTTTGATTGCATAAATCAAATCATCAAGTCAATTAAATCAAATCATAAAAACAAATCATATTCTGTTTTTGAGAAAAACTAGTGATTCGAGGTTATCTCAACTTTTATTTGACACTCGTTCGAAAAAATGCTCGACATATTTTGTGCGATTGCTTAAGTCTTGATGGTTTTTTTTTTCGTTTTTTTCCGGAAAAGTCTTAAAATTTGTTCAGTTTCAAATATACTTTTTCCATTTGATTTTGATTTCTGATTAGGTTGAAATCATTTTCTAATATAGGTCTCAATTATATAGGTCGTAATTTTTTTTTTCGTTTTCTTTTCAGGAAAAACTTTAAGATTTGTTTTACATTTGGCTTTTGATTTCTCTTTAAGTTCAATTTTTTTTCCTTGCTAAAATGAAGGAAAACTTCACTAAGGAGCAGCAGAGGTTTAAAAATCACAAATACGTGATCGGTTTTGTTTGAAATTTGGAATTTAATTTTAAATTTTCCCAGCGAAAAACAAAACGTATTGTTTGATTCAGTTTTTCTTTTCCAAATTGGGCTTATTTTATCATAAAAGTGTCAATTATAAATTTTTCTTGGAAATCAAAGCGCTTTTTGGTCGTCTATTTCCTTCTTTGAAGTTCGAAAGTTGGTATTTTTCAAAAATCTTTCGTATTTTCATTCCGTTTACTTGCGTTCATTAACTCTTTTTCAACCCTCTGTTGGCTATGTGTTTGTTTAGAAAACGTGGGTGAATCTGTGTTTTTGGTTGAGCCAAACGGAAAGCCAAGATGCATACTAGGAGTTGTCACTTCAGTAACAGAATGCAATGATTTTACAATAGCCACAAAACCAATGCTTATCATGAAAGCCAGGCCATTTTTTGCCCACTTGTTCACCGAAATGACTTCAACGACCACTAGTACCCGGGAAGTAACAAATGCTACTGAAATTTTGACAACTGCATTTGAAAATCGAACCAAAACAGGCAATGTTGACAGCAATTCACTCAGGATTCCAACTGAGTCATTTGAAAAAGCTACAAAAACTGTAGATCCTGAAACCGAAACAACTGCAACTTTTAAAACAGCACAAACGTCGTCATCTAGAGAAATGTATGAACCAACCGCGAGCTCAGTTGTAGAAGACACATCGAGTGCTTTGTTTATAACCAGCTCATCGATGCCAGAGAAAACTGAAGATCTCATGAGCAACACATTTCGGAGCTCGACCAGCGCAAACCGACAAACTGACGAAGTTAGCCAAAATCTATCAACCGAACCCAAAACAACAGACATTATAAGGTTGACTACTGATTTTACAGCACAGACTACAACTACAAATAGCGTTACTCTTATAAAAAACATTAGTGCTAATGCAGAGATTTCATCACCGAGCAACAGCACCCTGAGCACTGCAACAAGTATTTCCTCGCCTGAGGACCTTGCATCTTCTCATTTTGAGGCAGAGACCCCAAGTACAACTAGTGCAATTAGTACAGGTGATGCAGCGACTTTAAGAACAATTACAAGCACACTGAGCGCTGGAGCAAGCATTTATTCATCTGTGGGCGTTACAACTGGTCGGTTTGAGACAGAGAGCTCGAGTACAACTGCTGTAACTAATACAGAGAACACCAATGGAGTTGCAGAAGTTTCATCAGCAAACACAACTATTCTGATCACTGGAGCAAACACTTCTACGGCTGAGATAGTGAGCGCGAGTAAAAATGCTGTTTATAATTCAGGGAGTACTAATAGAGATACAGATATTTCACCAACAGACGAAATCACTGTGAGCACTGAAGCGAGCAGGTTTTTGACTGAGAGTAGCACAACTACTCACATTGAAACAGAGACCCTGAGTACAACTGCTGTAAATAGTACAGAGAATATGGATGAAAATGCAGAGATTTCATTAACAAGCACAAACAATCTGACCACTGGAGCAATTATTCATTCGCCTGAGGATAGTACAAGTGCTCATTTTGAGACAGAGACCCCGAGTACAACTGCATCAACTGATACAGAGGTTACCAATGAAAAAGCAGAGATCTCACAATCAAACACGAGCTTGTTGAGCTTTGGAGCAACCATTTCTCCAAATGAGGGGAGTGCAACTTCTCATTTTGAGACCCCACGTACAAATTCTGTCACTAGTACAGAATATACCATTGGAGATTTTGGTATTTCAACATCGAGTAACAATATGATGAGCCCTGAAGCAACCTTTTCTTCATCTCAGGGCAGTAAAACTACAGGTTTTGAGATAAATACACGGAGTGAAAATTCTGTAAATAGTACAACGTACTTCAATGGAGATACTTCAACAAACAACAAAACACTGAGCAGTGAAGCAATAAATTTTTCATCTGATGGCGGTACAACTACTGGTTTTGAGACAGAGAACACGAATAAATTTGCTGCAACTGTTCCAGAATACACCAATGCAAACGCAGAGGTTTCACCAGCGAACAACACCACGCAGAGCCATGATGATAGTACTTTAACACATGAGGGCCTTATAAAAACAAGTTTTCAGACAGATGTCTGGGGTACAACTTTTGTAACAAATACAGAATACATCAATGCAAATACAAAGGTTTTACCAACAAATAAGAGCACGCAGAGCTCTGAAGCAAGCGTTTTTACAAATGAAGACGGTACAACTACTGGCCTTGAGACAAATAACCAGCGTACATCTTCCGCAACTGTTCCAGAACTCTCCAATGCAAATCCAGAAACTTCTTCAACGAACACCAGCACTCTAAGCTTTGGAGGAAGTATTTTTTCATCTCAGACCAGTGAAGTGGCTAGTTTTGAGACAGAGAACTTGAGTACACCTTTTGTAACTGTTTCTGAGCACATCATTGGAAAGGCAGAGAGTTCAAACACAAAACACATCACACCGAGCTTTGGAACAAGCTATTCTACAAATGAGGGTAGTATAACCACTGGTTATCCGACAGATACCTGGAGAACAATTTCTGTATCTAATACAGCGTACATCAATGGAGGTTCCGATATTTCACCAACAAATATAAGTAGGCAGACCACTGGTGTAGACTTGTCGTCACCTAAAGGCAGTACAACTGCTAGTTTTGAGTCCATAAGTTTGATTTCTTCTTCTATAACTGTTCCAGATTACAACAATTCAAGTACAGAAAATCTACCACCAAGCAACAGCACGCTGAGTTCTGGAGCAAGCATTGGTTTTTCTGAAGGTAGTACAGCTAATGGTTTTCAGACAGAATCTTCAAGTAAATCTTTTGCAAATTTTACAGAATATAGCGGTGTAGAGGCAGATATTTCATCAATAAACAACAGCATGTCCAGCACTGAAGCAATCAATTCTACATCTCAGGGCAGTACATCTACTGGTTTTGAGACAAAGAACTTGAGTACCAATTCTCTAACTAATAAAGAGAATACCAATGAGGATGCAGGCATTTCACAAACATACAACAGCACGTTGGACGCTGAAGCAACACTTTCTCAAACCAGTTTAACGACTGGTTTTCAGTCGGAGAACCCAATTTTATCTTCTGTAATTGTTCCAGAATACACCAACTCAAATGCAGAAGCTTCCTCATCAGTAAATCTTACAGAGAACATCAATGAAACTGCAAAAAATTCATCATCGCTAACAACGTCGTCAATGACTTTTTTGACATCGTCGCCGACCACGTTTTTAACGACATCGTTAACGACAGCTTCCACTTTATCGCCGTCTACTTCGTCAACGACATCGTCAACAATTTTTTCGACAACATCGCCGAACACGTCGTCAGCGAAATCTTCGACATCATCGTCAACCACTCCGTCAACAAAACCTTCGACAGTGTTACAAACCACAGCGACATCTTCTGCAGTGTCGCCGACAACTTTTTCAATGACATTTTCATCTAAGTCGTCAACCACGCCGTCAACGACATACGGGAATTCATCTCCAACCACGGCGTCAACGGCATCATCAATATCACCGCCAACCACAGCGTTAACAAAATTTTCGCCCACGTCGCGAGTCACGTCGTCAACTAATTCGTCAACGAAATCATCGACATCGTCGCCGACAACTTCGTCAATGACTTCCTCCACATCATCACCGACAACTTCGTCAACGACGTCGTCAACGTCTTCTATTACATCATCAGCGACTACTTCGACAACGAGTGTACCCACATCATCACCGACAACTTCGTCAACGACGTCGTCAACGTCTTCTTTCACGTCATCACCGACAACTTCATCAACGACTTTATCCATATCATCACCGACAACATCGTCAATGACATCTTCGACATCGTCGCCGACAACTTCGTCAACGACTTCCTCCGCGTCATCACCGACAACTTCGTCAACAACTTCGTCAACGACTTCCTCCACGTCATCACCGACAACTTCGTCAACAACGTCGTCAACGACTTCTTTCACATCATCACCAACAACTTCGACAACGACTCTATCCACATCATCACCGACAACTTCATCAACGACTTTATCCACATCATCACCGCCAACATCGTCAACAACATCGTCAACGACATCTTCGACATCGTCGCCGACAACTTCGTCAACGACGTCGTCAACGTCTTCTTTCACATCATTAGCGACTACTTCGACCACGACTGTACCCGCATCATCACCGAAAACTTCGTCAACGACGTCGTCAAGGACATCTTCGACATCGTCGCCGACAACTTCGTCAACGACTTCCTCCACATCATCACCGACAACTTCGTTAACAACGTCGTCAACGACTTCATCCACATCATCACAGACAACTTCGTCAACGACGTCGTCAACGACATTCATACCAACAACAACTCCCATATTTTTTATACCAATTATACCTCAGAACGCCAACTCAGCCGCACGTGGCTCGGTTGATTACTACTACTTCAAAAAGGAAATGCGAGGCAGAAAAGTAACAGAAGTTAAGGCGTCAACTACATCCGATGTTCATTCTAAGACCACATACCAGAAACAAAGTTTCAAGTCCATCACGAAATCAAAATTTGTTTCAGACACGAGAACTGATTTCCGAAGAGAGAATAAAAGAAGCAAGGTTCTTTTGGAGCATACTTCCGAAGTATCTTCAACGACTGATGCCAATACTGAGATTTTCTACGAAAGGCTTTTATCAGAAGTCGATGGCACAACGCAGCAGTTTCATAGCACCACCTATTCGAAAACAGTTTCCGATGTTTCAAAATTTTCTAAGGATGGAATGAATCAGTTTGAAAGTATCATTTCAGAATGTACGACTGATTTGAGGCTAAGAGTTTATTCGAGAAATTATCTCGATATTCAAGTAATAAGCGAGCCGGAAAACACATGCAAAACGAGGTTGCGTTCTGGTAACTTGATTCAAACTCACAGTGTTTTGTCAGCGTTTTCAGTTCCATTGGCTCACGATTTATATCAGACGAGGAAATTTGAACAAGCAAATGGAACATTTTGGGTTAATTTAGGACCTGGAATACCCGAAATGCACACCAACGCTTTTTGCAGAGGACCCCAAAATGAAATGTTTGAGGTTCCCGATTTGACAGTAATACATCGCGTAGTTTCAACGATAGTTTCAAGCGTGGCTGCTGATCTGATGACATCAACCTATAAACACTACGACTCTGAACTCCCAAAGGGTGCTAATTGAGGCCGCCGAGCAATTTGATGACTTTTTTAAAATGGAAGGGTTTTTATGTGATTTATGTGATATTGAAAAACTCAACACGCTTCATATGATGCTATTGCATAAACATTTTGAGTAAATTAATCAAATTAAAAGCAACAAAGATACAAATAACTATATCTGTTAGTACTTTAAACGTTTCAACGCGCCGCGGTTAGCAAAATATCTTAAAAAGCTGAAAACACTGTCACAGACGGTTTGAGAAAATTTATTGAGTTCAAAATGAAAATCATAAGATTTCACGAATCAAGCCCGGTACGTTCCGACTAAAATATAAGTTCCGGCTCATGTTTAGTTTTTTGCAAAAAAATTTAATTACATTTTGAAAAAAAAACTTTCCTCACACGCAATCTCAAGTACAAAATAATGGTTTTGATATTGTTCAGATCAGCTAGCTATCACAGTTCTAATTAGAAAGTTTTATGAGCAGTTGCTGAATAAACTACGCGTTAATAGATTTTGGAGTGCAAATTAATAATCTTACATTATAACAAAACTGCAATTTTTTGGTTAAATTTTTCCAAAAAGTGCCGAAAAACTCTAAATAGTGAAAAACTCTAAATTTCGAACAATATCAAAAATCAAGTTTGAAAAACTGAGTCGCAAGAAACTCAAACGACCGATTGGCTAGCCTCAATTCAATTTGGAACAATTTTGTTGTGCGGTATAATTCACACGATATTGCTCAAAAAGTTTCCAAAAATAGTCAACTTTGCGGATTTTGCAACTAAATTTGGAACATTTTGAGCAATCCATGAAATAAAAAAATATATAAGTTTAGTAAACTGAAGCTGTCATGGAATCAGCAGCTGTAAGTGGAATCCGCAAATTGTAGGCGGATTTCTCAAATTATGAGCGGATCCGCAAATTATGGGTGGAATCCTCATAAATTTATGAAATCCACTTAAATCGAGACAACTACTTGTATTCGCTCGATACTGAATCCGGAATAAAACTAATTTGCGGACAAAACCTACATTACACGCAATTTTTCTAAAGGAATCCACTTACATTTTAATTTTTGTTTAAAGAGTTGTCTCTGGAATCCAGAAACATACAGACGCAAAGTTGTGCGCCAATCCAATGCACAGTTTGTGCTCGTAATGACGCATGAAACACAGACTGATCAATTCAGAGCTCTTCTTTCAAAAGATCTTCCAAAAAGAGGAGAACCAAATAGTGAACGAAGTGGAAATTTAAGAAACAAATTAGTAATTTCTGGTGTGTATCCTATGTAGCCGGCAAAAGAGAAGGTACTGATTTCACACGCAAAAAAAACAAGCGTCTCTGAAACAACTTACCAGCAATTCAAAAATCAATACCTAAACCATTCAATCCTTTTTAACAAATCTGAATAAAACTGACAAATAGATAAACTCGGCTTTTTATTGTACATTGGCTTCACTGTTAAGTTTTAACCTTTTCTTAGTTCACCGAAGAGTGATTGATAGTCTTTCCTCTAGACATAAAACCAAAATCATTTAAAAAGAAACCAAATAGAGGTATGTAATTTCAGGTTTTTTGTTGTCCAAGGAAACTAAAGTTTGTCACCGCAAAGCGCTTTTTTTATTAGAAAAAATTTTATTGACAACTTTTAGATGGAACATACCCACTTTGAGAAGAAGGTTTGAACACATTACGAATACGAAGTCAAAATGTTTCGTAGTTGCACAGTTGATTGGAGGATCTCAGAAGCGCAGCGAACCGCAAAGAATCACTCTTTGTTTTTTTTTCTACTCAAATTTCAGCTCAAATTTGTAACCGTAAAATGTTTTTTTTCCTGATTTTGAAAAGCTTTCGAAGTTTAATTTATCAATTAAAAAACGACTTTGAGAAACTGTGTTGAACAAACTAAGAAGCCGTACTAATTTTTTTGGAAGAGAAGGCTCGAAACAGAAGGCTTAGGATTTTAGTAGCTCAGCTGAATAAAAAAAACTCAGACAAGTCCTATTATTCTGTTGCCATGTCAATTTCTTCATAAAATTCATTTTCCTCGTAACGTGTCCAATCTCTTCTACTTAGTTTGGCCAATTGGTGTGTTCCATAATACCCCCGCTAAAAATTTCAAAACAAAAAACCAAATTATCTTTACACAATCTTTTTTTGTTTAGTGAGGAAGCAAGGGACTATATTTTGCTCCGGAGAGCTACAATGGGAAAAAACACGTTACTTTTTAAGCCCAGGAGTGATGTTTTTTTGTCGACATTTCCTGTTTTTGAATTGATAAGGCAATTTCATTTGCATTAAACTTTGTTCAAATGTTAATTTTTTGTAAAAATGCAAGAAACTAATTTCTGAAAAAAAAACATTTCAAATCCAAAGTTTATAACAAATTTTTTCAAAAACCAATTTATAAAGTAAATCCGTTCATTAATTTTTCTAAAAGATTGCATGCTTCAGTTTTGAGCCTCGATTGTTCCGATTATCTTTTTTAAATGTCTATTTTAAATGTTCGTTTTATCCTTTGATTGCTGAAACTGTACGCAAAGTTTTAATGCGTGGCAAATTATCCCTCACTACAAAATGAATTCAGGCAAATAATTGGTCTAAATAATTCCCAATACGACTTTTTTCAGATAAGTTTTAAAATTCATTTTGTGAAGTTAAAACTCATGTTTTTTCAATATTTCATTCATGAAAAATTATTCGAGCCCAGTCAGAACATTAAGGGTTTTGCCTTTATACTAGCTGTCTTATTTTGTTTCTATGATGCGTTACAGGTAAATTTATTGTTTATTTTTGTTGTTTTTTATTTACTTGTGTTCAATTTGAATTTCAATATTTTTCTGAATAAGATTTTGTAAAGTTTGAAGTTTAGAAAGTTGAGTTTGAAGATTTGGAATGAGGTAGTTTGAATTACAAGAGGTATGTTTATATGAGAGGACTATGTAGGCGGCAAAAATGATTCCAATCTTATTTCAGCCAATTCAAATGCTCCAAATACCGCGCTACCAGAAAAAAAAGTTATCATCTAAGAGGTAAAAATTTCTTAAGATTTTCAAAATATTAATTCAGATAACTAAAACATAATCGGAACAATCGAGGCTCAAAACTGAAGCATGCAATCTTTTAGAAAAATTAATGAACGGATTTTTCTTTATAAATTGGTTTTTGAAAAAGTTTGTTATAATGAAGTTTGAGGAAAATGAAGTTGAGGAAAATGAAGTTTTATGAAGAAATTGACATGGCAACAGAAGAATAGGAGTTGTCTGAGTTTTTTTTATTCAGCTGAGCTACTACAATTCTAAGCCTTCTGTTTCGAGCCTTCTCTTCCAAAAAAATAGTACGGCTTCTTATTGTGTTCAACACAGTTTCTCAGTTTCTCAAAGTCGTTTTTTAATTGATAAACTAAACTTCGAAAGCTTTTCAAAATCAGGAAAAAAAACATTTTATGCTTATAAATTTGAGCTGAAATTTGAGTAGAAAAAAAAACAAAGAGTGATTCTTTGCGGTTCGCTGCGCTTCTGAGATCCTCCAATCAACTGTGCAACTACGAAACATTTTGACTTCGTATTCGTAATGTGTTCAAACCTTCTTCTCAAAGTGGGTATGTTCCATCTAAAAGTTGTCAATAAATTTTTTCTAATAAAAAAAGCGCTTTGCGGTGACAAACTTTTGTTTTCTTGGACAACAAAAAACCTGAAATTACATACCTCCATTTGGTTTCTTTTTTAATCATTGTGGTTTTATGTCTAGCGGAATGACTATCAAGCAATCTTCGGTGAACTGAGAAAAGGTTAAAACTTAACAGTGCAGCCAATGTACAACAAAAAGCCGAGATTATCTATTTGTCAGTTTTATTCAGATTTGTTAAAAAGGATTGAATGGATTAGGTTTTGATTTTTGAATTGATGGTAAGTTGTTTCAGAGACGCTTGTTTTTTTGGCGTGTGAAATCAGTACTACATATACCAAGAGCAAATAATCAGCGCTACCCATTTTGAATTTAATGACATTTGAGTCCAAAGACTTACCAGAGTTTTCTTGGTTTAAGCAAGCCAGTTTTCTTAATCTGCTCTAAATTTTTCAAAATGCCTGAAATCGTTCGCGCGTTTTGCTCTTGGTATATGTAGTGTTTTAATTTAAATTCCAAGTGAATGTTGTCC